TCTTTCTTTCTTTCTTTCTTTCTTTCTTTCTTTATTTATTTTTTTTTGTGAACCAGGGATTGAATTCAGGCCCTTGCACGTGCCAGGAATGCTTATTCCACTGAGCCATCTCCCCAGCCCCCCTGGTTTAAATTAATATGTAATACATCTGATTTTCCCCTGTTGGTTTTTTTTTTTTTTTCTTTTTTTACGGAGCCAGGGATTGAACTCAGGCCCTTGCGCTTAACAGGGAAATGCTTATTCTACTGAGCCATCTCCCTAGCCCTGATTTTCATTGTATACAGAGGAGCAAGTTTTTCATCATATTTAAGGAGCAAGTTTTTTCAGCAAAAAAAACTTGTGTAGTTAATTTTATAAAATAATCATATTTGGGGTGATAAATATAGCATGGCAGCACAGTGCCTGCCTGGTAAGCATGAGGTCCTGAATTTGATTCCCAGGGACACCACCACCATGCCCCACAAACAAAATCATACTGTAATTTAGTGCAGATCTCATACACAGTTGGATGGTATCGTCATAGAGGGTGTATTATAATCAACATTTCTTTTCAATAGGCCAAAACGGACAAAAGCAAGCATGTCTGAATTTCTTGAATCTGAAGATGGAGAAGTGGAACAGCAGCGAACATATAGTAGTGGCCACAATCGTTTGTATTTCCACAGTGATACCTGCTTACCTCTCCGTCCACAAGAAATGGAAGTAGACAGTGAAGATGAAAAAGATCCTGAATGGCTAAGAGAAAAAACCATTACTGTAATTAAATTATCCTCTTCATCATCATTGGTGATCTTAGGAATTTATGATTAATGAATTTTGTTTGAAAATGTTTAACATGAATAAGACTTCTGACTTACTGTTAAAGAACTCTATTTTTCTAAATTTCAGGATCCAGGGAATGCAGAGTCTTTTTTTTTTCTTCCTTTTATTTATATTTGGTACAGGGTCTCACTGTTAGCTCGGACTCATAATGATCCTCCTGTTTTCAGGTTCCCCTGCACTGGGATTACAGGCATATGCCACCATTCCCAGACTCGATGGCCAGCTCAGCACGCCCTGGGATTGAACCCTAGTCCCTATGCTTGCCAAAGCAGGCACTTAGTCTCCTGAGTTATCTCATCACCCCTTAAGAATGTATAATTTTTTAAAGTTTTTTAAAACCTTGTCAATTAAGAAAAACCAAATTATCTTCATATGAATTTGAATTGGGTATTTTCATTTTGGTATTTATAGTAAGTTATGAAAATTACTAATTTATAGTAATTTTACTATAATTAGCAATTTTCATAACTTACAATTTCCTTTTTAAAATTGTTTCATAAGGCTGAGGCAGGAGTGTTGTCACAAGTTCAAGACCAGCCTGGGTTACAAAGTCAGCTCAAGGCCAGCCCGAACTGCATAGCGAGACCCTGTCTCAAACAAAAAGAAAATTTAAAAATCTGTATAGATTTTAAGAAATGTTGCCACCTCAGTAGAATTGTTAAACATTCTACTTTTGACATTCTTAGTTTTCTTTAGAAATACCAATTATTTTCTTTACGTAATAAATTTTTTTGTTGGACTTTTTGTTTTGTTTTTAGCAAATTGAAGAATTTTCTGATGTTAATGAAGGAGAGAAAGAAGTAATGAAACTATGGAATCTCCATGTCATGAAACATGGGTAGGGTGTTTCTAAATTAATTTAAATATTTCACTATTTCATTTTGCTGCTTCACAATCTATATATTTGTTAGAAGACTCATATTTAAAATTCTGTTAATGTAAATATGTGTTCCAAATCTAACTGTAGGCCAAAAATACTTTAATTGCATAAAGAAAAACAGTGATGTTCAGAGACTATAGAGGGAAATGTTGGCTCCTATCTCTAAGAAGCTGCTGCTTTTTTTTTTTTTTTTTTTTTTTTTTTTTTTTTTTTTTTTTTTTTTTGGTGGAACTGGGGATTGAACTCAAGCAAGGCCCTTGGTGCTTGCCAGGGAAGCACTTATTCCACTGAGCCATCTCCCTGGCCCTCTAACAAGCTTCTAAACAGCAGATTTTGAAAAGGTCTTGGGTTTCTTTCAGTACTTAAAGAGAAAAAGTCTTTAATGTTATCATTGGTTGAATTTAACTTATGTACTGTGACTTAATGTATAGGCAAAATAATTTCTCACTGCCTAGTTTTTGCTATGTTTCTCAGGTGGGTTTTGAACTCCTGAGGCAAGTGATTCTCTTGTCTATACCTCCCTGGTAGGTGGTACTATCTGCACCATCACTATGCCTACTAGCTTTATTTTTTCTTTGTAAGTCAATACAAAATAATACCCCATTTTCTACATACCTGGAGATTACTTAGCACAACCATTACCATAGGTAATAATATGCTTTATTATTCAGAATAAGGTATGTGGCTTTTCTGGTTGGTTGTTACCATTTCATAAGTTCAAGGTCAAGCATCTCTTTTGCTTTTCTAGCCAAAAAGTATGTTCCTAACTATTGTTTTTCTTGCGTATCTTCTTTCTCTATTATGTAATTGTAAATTACACTGTCATCCCACTTTCTCTGCTTCCTTATTCAATCAATACTTCTTTATATCATCCAAGTTTTTTCATTTGTTAAACAAATGTGTACCTCTTCACTTTTTCTTTTCAGTTCTACACCATCTTTTTTTTTTTTTTTTTTTAGTCAGGCTATTCCAACATAGGATCCTTTTGCCACTGCTTCCCAGTGTCCTGGGTTTGTAGGGACTGACCACTATGTCCCACTTAATGTCCTTTTAAATTTCTAAAATTATTTGCTTGTTAGGTAATTAAATTTGATTGTAATCTTAGTACTTGCTAAGGCATCATTCACTGAGGTTGGATATATAGTCTTTTTTTTTTTTAATTTATTTTATTTATTTATGTGGGGGGGGGTGGGTGTATGGCCAGCTCAGCCCGCCAGGGGGTGGGGCTGGCTGGCATGTGGTGCTGGGGGATTGAACCGCGGTCCCTGTGCTTTAAGCTTGTTCTAAGTAGGTGCTTTAGACCACTGAGCCATCTCACCAGCCCTGGATATATAGTCTTTATTTACTGTTTAATAATGGTTACTACTACTGTATTTGGAAATAATGCTTTGTATCACTATTAATGTAGGTTTTTCTGTTAAATAGGTTTATTGCTGACAATCAAATGAATCATGCGTGTATGCTGTTTGTAGAAAATTATGGACAGAAAATAATTAAGAAGAATTTATGTCGAAATTTCATGCTTCATCTAGTCAGCATGCATGACTTTAATCTTATTAGCATAACGTCAATAGATAAAGCTGTTACCAAGCTTCGTGAAATGCAACAAAAATTGGAAAAAGGAGAATCTGCTTCCCCTGCAAGTGAAGACATAACAGAGGAACAAAATGGGACAGCAAATGGATTTAGTGAAATTAACTCAAAAGAAAAAGCTTTGGAAACAGATGGTGTCTCAGGGGTTTCAAAACAGAGCAAGAAACAAAAACTCTGAAAAGATCTAACCCCACGTTATGGACAAACACTGAAATTGCATTCTAGGGAATTCAGCCTCTAGGAAGAGTTGTGCTTTTGTTTCTTTTTTAAATCAGTAGATTCCAAACAGGCAGTGTTAGATGAAGTAAATGATTTCAACAAGGATATCTGTGCATCAGGGTTTCACTTCAGTTCCTTATGCAACATTACATGTATCTCAGTTTTATTGATGTCAATAAAACAATTTCTAGTTGGAGCATGAAAAGCAGTATTTCAAAGTTCCTTTAACGGCAGGTTGTCTTACAAATATATTAATCTAGAAATTATTTCTTATACTTAAAACTATAATGCTTTTTGCATTTCTGACTGGCTGTTTTTCTACTTTGTAATTGTGAGACGATTTTCTTGGGGAGGGAAAATTGGAGTGTTGGTTTTTTTTAAGAAGTTGAAGAGTTTGTCAAATGGTTGCATTACTACTAGAAACCTTGATCCTTGATTTTTGAAATCATTTATCAATTTGGAATAAAAAATGCAATGCAAGATAAACATTACATAAGTTAATTTTAGTTTTAAAGTAGCACTTCTTCATCTTATGCCTGTTTGATGTTCTTTTTTTACATTGTTGTCAGTGAGATGTCATGGTTTATAGGTGTTATTGACCATTTGTTTTTGTGTGCATTTTAGTGCATTGCTCATCCAGTATATTTCTTAAACTTGAACATTTTCTTTTTGGTTTTTCTTTCAATTAGGTAGTAACATAAAAAATTCACCTGTATGTTTTCATTTGGGTTGAAAGCAGAAGAACAAGATTGAGATTGTAAGGATGCCACTTTGAAAGGGGGGGGGGGTTCTATACTAAACAAACCAGAAAATGATACGCCTGGGTTTTTTGTTTTTATTACCAGGATTTCTTTGTGTTTTGTGATTAGAATATCCAGTACAGATGAGCTGACTTGAATGAGCAATTCTTCCCTGTGTTGTGTGTTTTGCGCACATACTTGCAGTTGGATATTCTCCAACAGAAAGCGGTTTCACTACTGGCACATTAATAAGCACCAATAGGTTTTTATTCCAACTCCAAGCACTGTGGTTGAGTAACATCACCTCAATTTTTTATTATCCTTTAGAGATATTGCATTTTCATATTCTTTATTTATAAAGGATCAATGCTGCTGTAAATACAGGTATTTTTAATCTTTAAATTTCATTCCACCACCATGAGATGCAGTTCCCTATTTTGTTTAGTGAAGGGATATATAAGCTTTCTATGTCTTCAGAAGTTTATAAGTGTAAATACTGATTTGGTCTTTAAGATGTGTTTAACTGTGAGGCTATTTAACAAATAGTGTGGATGTGATTTGTCATCCAGTATTAAGTTCTTGGTCATTGATTTTGTGTTAAAAATAGGAAAGAGGGAAACTGCAGCTTTCATTAGACTTCTTGATTGGTAAGCTCTACAAATGACAAGTTCCACTAGACTCACTTTGCTTGAGTAGTGGATTTTGAGCATTTCTCTTGGGCTTTAATTTGCTAAAGCTGTGCACATATGTAAAAAAAAAAAAAATAGATTATTTTAGGGGAGATGTAGGTGTAGGATTATTGCTTATGTCATTTCTTAAGCAGTTATGCTCTTAATGCTTAAAAGAAGGCTAGCATTGTTTGCACAAAAGTTGGTGATTCCCTCCCCCGAATAGTAATGAAATTACTTTTGTTGAGTAAACTTTTTATGTCATCTTATAATAAAAGCTGAAAAAAAATCCCTTTGTTTCTATTTATAAAAAAAAATGTTTTTCTATATGTACCCTTGATAACAGATTTTGAAGAAATCATGTAAGATGATAAAGCATTTGAATGGTACAGTAGATGTAAAAAAAATTCAGTTTAAAAGAACGTTTGTTTTTACATTAAATGTTTATTTGAAATCAAATGATTTTGTACATAAAGTTCAATAATATAAAAAAGCTGTATATCCTGTTTTATTTATTTGCTTGGTTTTAATAATTGTTATTTACAAATACTTGTATCAAAATTGTTTTAGCAAAGAGTAGGAAAAGTACATTAACTTCAAACGATGAGTCAGAACTAATAAGAAATTTAAAAGTTGTTTAAATCCTGGATTCATCTGTTGTAACTAGTATGCTATTTGGGGTAATACAGATATGTTTTTAATGCTTTTTAAATTTTTTTGGCAGCAGGCTCAGTCCGCCCTGAGTAGACTGAGTGAGTGGGACTGGCATGGCATGTGTTGCCAGGCATCAACCATGATCACTGCCATTGTCCAAGCAGGTGCTTTAGACCACTGAACTATCTCACCGGCCCCAGAAATATTTTAAAATATGTACAGTAGTTCAGAGTAGTATCAGTGTTAGCCAAACAACTGCCCATCTTTCATTATGGATTCTTTTTATTTCCACACTAGGCTACATTCCAGTTTTTCATTTTGAGACAGTGTTACTTAAATTACGAGGTAGGTATGTACTAGCATGTTCAACTTCCATTTTCCTGTTAGTGAAAAAAAAAAATTATCTCTAGAATACAGAAAAATTACTATGATTGTTAAATTTATAATAAAATTTATCCTATTTATGTTTCAGTAGAAACTGTCCTTTTATGTTTTAATATTTTTTCTTCAGTAACAGGCAGTAGTATATTATCTGGCAGTACGGGCAGCATCCTCTGTTAGTCCGCTTGATCAGAAAGGGTAACAAAGGCTACCCTGCACTTTACTGCTAAAGCCATGTATGATAGGTTAGGTGAATTAAATACATTTTCACCTTACCTATCATAAGGTTTATTGCAACGTTAATTGCATTGTAAGTGAAGAATCATCTACTACATTCAGTACTGCTGAGATCAGTAGTTGATGAAACTATACAGCAGTTGGAAGAAACCATACTACAGCCTTGAACTTCACTATCTGTTGAGGTACTGCATGGCAATGCCCTATTGAGGGTTTTGCATGGCATCCTAAGGGTTGTGTTTCAGACAAAGTATTTGGTGATTTACTGAAGAGATGACATGATCCATTTTGTTTGGCTATAAGGAAAGCTTAAACGGGAGAACCTTCATGTAGGGAACATCCCTAGGATGCTGCTGAAGGAATCAAGGTGAATACCCTATTAGAAGAGTCGAAGTGCCAAGAAGTAATTGCTAAGTGATGTTGCAGTATAGTGGAAGGAATACAAGTTCAGGCAGACCAAATCCAAGAGATTTTGAAAAAGGAAGCAGTTGTATACTGTTGAAAACAAGATGACAGTTGTAGGGAGTTAGATGATGTAAAATAAGCTTCGATTACCCACCTCCAATTTAAAAAGTGATGGAATGCAGCTCAATTCAAGGGCCTTGGGTTCAGTCCCCAGTACCTTGTTGGGAAAAAGCTCAGATGGACTGAGAATGGTGGAAGTTTCAGTAACACTGTTGGATGCCTTAAGGACAGGTCTGGTAAGGCATGAGGATATGGGGATCGAACCACAGCAACCTGAGCCTGACTGCTTTGTCTAAGCAGTCACTTAAAACAACTGAGCTAATGGGCAAGCTCCTCAAGTAAAAATAGGTTGATTTGTATGTAAGGACAAAGATTTACTCAATTCTTACATAACCTAAAAATGTTATTTTAATGTCTAGTGGATGGATCAGGAAGAACAGGGCTTAATCTGTTGAACAACTATTTTATTAATTATTGTCCATTTCTAACCATCATCCTATCCACACAACAAAGCTACAGGGGCTGCCTGTAGATCCTCCAAGTCCTACTATAATTTTTTTTTAATATTTATTTTTTTTTATATTTATTTATTTTTATTTATTACATTTATTTATTGTGTGTGTGGCCAGCTCAGCCCACCAGGGGGCGGGTCTGGCTGGCATGTGGTGCTGGGGATCGAACCGCGGTCCCTGTGCTTTGCCAAGCCTGTTTCAAGTAGGTGCTTTAGACCACTGAGCCATCTCTCCAGCCCCCTACTATAATTTGAATGAGAAAAAATGTGTCCAAATAGCTTTTGCCTGCGCTTCCAGCATGCAGTTCAGGCTGCTCCTGAATTTATTTTGTAGCTCAGGCTGGGCTTTGAACAGCCAGTGAATTCCTGCCTCAGCCTCCTGAGTACTGGGGTTACAGGCGTGTGCCACTGTGCCTGACTATTTATTCACTATCTGCATCAGCACCTGTCCAAATTAAGGGATTAGGGTAAATTGAGTAAGACTCACATCCTGCTTCAAAGGTTCCCCAACAACTTACAGGTGAAAGTTACTGTAATTCTATCTTTCCTGGCCCTAAATACGGTAGAATCAAAGGCATTTTGCCTTACAAAATTTACAAAGTAAGAAAACCTGCCATTTACTGTCAGTTACATCATTTTTTTTTTTTTAATGGTATGTGTTGAACCCAGGGCCTCAAATTGCTATGTCTTTTTTTTTTTTTTGCGGAACCAGGGATCGAACTCAGGCTCTTGTGCTTGCCAGGCAAGCACTTATTCTACTAAGCTATCTCCCCAGCCCTCAAATTGCTATGAAAACACTAGCACTAAGTTACATCCCTAGCCCTTGTTAGTTTTACTTTAAAAAAGGACAGTACCCCACACATACACACTACATGCAAAAAAGCATAGTTTCAGAATAAAGCATATAACCAGGTTTGGTGGCACAGCCTCCCCTGTAATCCCAGCACTGGGGAGGCTGAAAACAGGAGGATCACTTTGAGTCCAAGCTGCACAGTGAGATCCTGTACAAAATACATAGAATAAAGCATAGTCCTTTTAAGTAGAATAAATTTAGATTTACAAAAACAAAAAATTACAATGGAAATTTACTTTGGAATAAGTTACTCCCAAGTCAGCTTTCACAATAGGATCATTGTTTCTTTAAAAAAAAAAAAAATCTGGACACTGAGAAAAAATAAAGTTTCTGCTATTTTTAAAAGTTCTCCAAGTGATACTCATGTTTAGCCAAGGTTGGCAACAACTGTTCCAGAACACAGAAAACCTAGGAATTTATTTTTTTATTTTTTTTTAAATGTCTGGGTTTCTTTTTTTAAAAAAAATATTTATTCATTTATCTATTTAGTATGTGTGTGGCCAGCTCAGCCCACCAGGAGGCGGGGCTGGCTGGCATGTGGTGCTGGGGGATTGAACCGCGGTCTCTGTGCTTTGCTTAGCTTAGCTTAGCTTGTTCTAAGTAGGTACTTTAGACCACTGAGCCATCTCACCAGCCCAAACCTAGGAATTTATAAACTAGTGGGTTTAGAGCAGGTATTCTAAAATCAAATACTTAAGGTGTCAGTGGTTAAATGAATCACATAGATGGTTTAAAACCAATTTACAGCTAGGAACAAAGATACCATGGTCCTCCAAAGAAAAAATCTGCAATGCAGAAAACAGTCATCATAATGTTATCAGGCTTTTCAGCACCAGAAAATAATACTGGAGTAGTGCTTCAAATTCTGAGGAGAAATGTTCTCCAACTTAGGATTCCTAACCAGCTACTATCAAAGAAATACAGGGCAGAATAAAACATTTTCAAGTCTCTCAAGAACTCTTACCTGTGGGGCAGCTTTCCCAGAAAGAGGAGGAAGTGCTCCACTGAACAGGGGCTTGAGTGTAGCTCAGTGGTGGCATGCTGGCCCAACCTGTACAAGGTCTTGGGTTTTGTCCCCAGCACCCTGATAATCAAAAAAATTAAAAAAAATAAAAAGGCACAGAATATTGGAAATATACCAGACGCCACCGTGCATGTCATCCTAGAGCAGGCAGTCCGCACAGGGAGAATGGGCCCAGGGCTTGTGTGCTGGGCAAGCGCTCTGCCACTGAGCCACACCCCAGCCAGAGATGGGACTTTCACTCCACAGCTGAGACCAGGAACGCTCTCCTTGGCACAGTCAGTAAAGATGACGTTGTGCCCTAGACTTGTACCCAACAACGAAAGAAGCCTGGTTGGGAGCATATAGACTTTCAGCACTGACACTACCTCTACTGCATGATCCGTGACCTGGGCATGCAGAGTGCCTGGCAGGAGTCATGCTCAGCTGTCTTCTCCTCCTGGCAGTAAACACAGTACCAGTCCTGACTCTTGACCTTCCTTGCTAGAAGTGTCAGAAAGCAAGCAGAAAAGAGGGTTTTGTTTTTTTCCTATAAAATCCAGAAGGTTATACCAAAACACAAAGATGACCACATTTCAATACCAGGAACCAATAAGAGCTCAAATTGAATGAAGGAAGGCAATAGATACCAAAGGGGAATTTGCCTGGTCTCTCCAGACCGCTACCCTGTGCCTTTCTCTATTGTTGTCCTGCCTTTTCTGCCTTCTTCCCACTTTCTTTATGAGACAGGGTCTGGTCACGTAGTTCAGAGCAGCTCTGAACTCACTGGGTAGCCCAGGCTGGCCTTGAACTCCTGGTGATCAAGTGCTGGAAATGCAGCAACAATGTTAAAGCTTGCAGCGATGTGTAATGTCTCTGAATGGCCAATAATTAACATGCATTAAAGGGCCATGGGAAAAATCTTTCTCTAACCACAATTAATATTTGAATATAAAAATATAGGGGTCTTGGCCTACCTCACACTCCTAAAACTCCCATGAAGGGAGATAATCATCACCTTACAGATAAATTTCCAGATCTGAGATAAACATACAGTATTTGGCTGACATCTATGAAACCCAGCCAACTACCAGCACTTTGTTAGGAACAAGAAAAATATAATAGAGCAGTGCCACCCCAAATATGGGGTAGAGCCCTACCCAGAGCTGTAATTACACTATTGTGTTAAGAGATACTGACTTGTTTGCTTTTTTAAATTTATTTATTTATTTGGCGGCCTGAAGATGCCTTGAGGGCATTTCTGGTTTGCCATGAGTATCTGGGTTCGAACCACAGCACCTTGAGCGTGAGTGCTTTGTTTAAGCAGGCACTTAAACAGCTGAGCTAATGGGCAGGCCCCCTTGTTTGCTACTTCCTAGAGGGAAAGTGCTAAAATAAAACGGCCAGCCCCAAAAGGTATTCGGTGGCTGTGTGGTAAAAATTGATGATGACATCGGTTACATTTATAGTAGATAAAAGATGCATGTTAGGATATTCAAGGATCCACGGGTGCTGAGTTACAACCACAGATGAACAATCTAGCCCCAATCAGGATGCATCGGTCAACCAGATCAGTTTTTCACTGTTTCGATCACCTGGTTGATCTTTACTCCCCAAATAAGACTTAAAAATCGAACGGGAGCACATTAAATCCCTTACTATGCACAGCTCTAAAGGACACTGCAGAGGTTACCCCGTCTGTTAAGTAAATTCAGAAGTAAAAGTGCGAAAAGCCATTCTATGAAACTGAATGGCCCTAGACAGTCTCACAGCAGCAGCATGAGGTGGCCTGGTGCCATCATCGACTGGAATGCTGTGCACGCCTGTCAGCAGCTCTGCGAATGAGTCCCTGCACTGCACGGTTTGCATTTACAAATCATCATGACCTCAGACTCCCCATAGAATCTAAGAATGGGCTAGCATCCTGGTTCCCTGACACAATCCAGTGAGAAAAAGTTCTCATTTTTCTAGCTAGGCGTTAAAATTCTGGTCCGTTACACGATCCACTGTTGTTGTCTCATATTCCCTTTTTTTCAGACTATCCAAAGATCAGGATTCTTCAAGACAGAAGCTGGCATTCCTGTCTCCTTTAGATCAGCAGGACAAGACTTTCGGCCCTTGGCGGCACAGGATCAGTGTCCTTCCTCAGCCTGAAGTACTTTAAAGTCCGAACACTGGCCTTCTGCAACTGGTTAAAAATGAGACCTAGGGGGCCAGGGAGATGGCTCAGTAGAATAAGCGCTTCCCTGGCAAGCGCAAGGGCCTGAGTTCAATCCCCGGTTCCACCAAAAAAAAAAAAAAAAGAGAGAGACCTAAGGCCAGCCAGATAGATCAGCGGACTAAAGCGCCTGCTTATGCACATTCCCCAAATGTGATTCGATCCCCAGCGTGCCATGCCAGCCCCTACCCTCAGGGCGTACTGCAAGGTGACTGAGCATGGTGGCGTGTACCTGTAATCTCAGCACTTGGGAGGTTGAAAACAGAATCACTGCGAGTCTGATCTATGTAGTGAGACCCTATACTAAATACATTAAAAAAAAAAAAAAAAAAAAAAAAGACCAGCTAGGTGTGGTGGAGCATGCCTCTACCCCAGCACTTGGGAAGCTGAGGCAGGAGGACTGCCACAAACTTAAGGCCAGCCTGAAAATGTCTTTAAAAAACTAGAAGGGCCAGGGAGACAGCTGAGTGGCACAATGCCTACCTGACAAGCACAGGGTCCTGAGTTTGGTCACCAGTACTAAAAAAAATTTAGGCTATCCTGTCGTTTTGCCACAACAGCCCACATTGCTTTCTCCAGGGTGTTCTTTCATCTTGTTTCTTCCTTTACTTGGTCCAAGCTCACTCTGTAGAGCCAGTTTTTCCCTCACTCCTCATTTTTACTTTCTCAAATAAAACTTCTTCATTGTTTTTTTAAAAATAATTTTTTTCTAATTTCTTCAATTGGGGGCCTGCCCCTTAGCTCACTTCTTTTTTTTGGCAGAACCGGGGACTGAACTCAGGCCCCTGCGCTTGCCAGAGAAGCACTTATTCCACTGAGCCATCTCCCCAGCCCCGCTCGGTTCTTTAAGTGGCTGCTTCAACAAAGCAGTCCAGCTCTGGTTGCTGTGGTTTGATCCCCACAATTCAAGCCAGCCAAACATGTTCTGAAGGCATTCTGAGCCAGGACCACCCCCCCAAAAAAAAAATCTAATTTCTTCGATCTACAGTTGAAGACAAAAAAAATCAGTAGTTAAATTAATTTCAAGGTTAAAAACACTACAATCCACTCCTGTGTAGATTTAAATCACTTCTGTGAAAAGGCGTCCTCTATAGCTGTAAATTTAAGATGCCACTTTCCTATAGAGAAATACATTCAAAATAAAAAGCAGAAAAAAAAAAAAAAAACAAAAAAACAATATATTTTTGAAGGGAATGAGATGAAGGCATCTGGAAAAAAACAGTTTCTCTCCATTCATCCCACTCAACACTTACCCCACACCTTGCTCCCCAGGCACGCGGACCACTATCAGATACAGAGGACATAAGGATGGCCAAGTAACCTTTCACAAGTTATAATGGTATCTTATTGAAATGCCTGAAGCCAAAGAAACTCTTTTTTCTTTCTTATGAAATAGATTAAAATTCAATTCATGAAATCTGAAGAAACAAAAAAATGCACACATTTAGCTTTTGAGTTTTTTTATTTTGTTTCAGACAGTTAGACAAGACATCCACACACAAGAACCTCTTAACAGTCACTGAACATGTGAAAGGCTACTTACATTTATAAAGGAAAAGAGAGAAGTGTGATTGTCAAACAGGGAACATGAATCCCCAAATAAATTATCTTACAAAAATATCAAACTTGCTTTCTCACTTTTCTATTACTGGTAAATATGAAAATTCACATTAAAAAATTTAGGCTAGTATAGTAAGTTAAGGCCATTATTTTTTACATATTCAGTAAGTCTTTCAAATAAATATTGTACACAAATTTAAGTTTAAAAAAATAGGTCAAGTCTTACCCCATTTTTTTTTTTTCCTTTTTCTTTTTGAGACAGAGTCTCATTATATAGTTCAGGCCAGCCTGGACTCACTACAAGGACCAAGCTGTTCTCAAACTCATGGTGATTCTCTAGCCTCAGCATCCTAAGCTCTGGGACTACAGGAATGCACTACCACACCCAGCTTACCCTATATTTCTTTCTTTCTTTTTTCTTTTTTTGTGGTACCAGGGATCAAACTCAGGACCTTGTGCTAGCCAGGAAGGTATTTATGCTGCTGAGACATATCCCTACCCCCAAACCTGTATTTCTTTGGTCCACTAAAAGACCATTCATCAACTGACATTAAACTGGACTATACAGCACATACCACAAACAGAAGCACACACACCACTGAAACTGCACATGCCCAGCAGCTAACGCTGCTGTGCCCTACGGAGCTTTATCCTGCACAAACTCTCAAGCCTATCTTGAATCAAACTGCAAGGAAAGAGCAAAAGATAATACCTGTCTACTACAGACACATGCTCAGGCCTTGTGTAAAATGCAGAAAGGATAAAGTTTTCCTGACACACAGATCCCTGAACACAGGCTAGCATTCAGCACTGCTTCAGATACCTGAATGCCGGGGCACAGGTGCCGTCCTCATGGAGGACACGTGAGTGGACACACGGGACAGAACTCTCTTCTGTCAGGTCTGTTCCTGTTGTTTTAGTCCAAAGTTGTACGAGGACTTAAATCTTGATCGAGACTTAATAAAAAATGTTACATTCAGTTCTTCTATCCTAATAACTAAGTATAAGAAGAACTAGGAGGGTATAAGACTTTCTGTATCCTCCTGGATATTTAAACCTAATCAGATTTTTCTTGTAATGTGATCTTTTAATTAACAATATGCTAATAACAAAATTGACAGAAGTACAGTTTTGTCCACACCATTCAATTCTCTTATTGTTAAAACACTGTATTACAAATGAATCCAGTAAACACCTTCCATTTTCAGAGGCCTGAGAGATGAATTCAACTTTCCTTTAACCAGTTACGACTAGACTGGGCTAAGGACAGCAATAGCCAACTTCTCAAACTGAAGTGACGCACCCCAAACTCTAAAATACTAACACTTTCCATCCAGGATAGAAAAACGAGCACCCAAAGTAAAGGGAGTCACAAGACTGATCAAGTATCCAATCAAAAACCACTTCTCTGTTACTTGAGCTAATAGTTACTCGGAGCTTAAAGTTTCCTCCTTCATTAATACTGGTCGTTCCAAGAGTCACAGTTTCGATGTCAAATGTGACAGTAGATCCAGAAGTAACTGCAGGCAACTGGTTAGTCATTTCTTTTCCATTTACAAAAACTGCACCTAAAATGTCAGAGTAAAAGAGTCATTTTCCTGTAAGCAGTAATTCTAATGACAGAATTGAAACAGCTTCTAGATTACTCATAATAGCCAATTTGCCAAGTCAGAAAAGGAAAACATTTCAGGATGCCAATGACATTGTGGACTAATTTAATTATGCGCATTAACCTCCATCCCCGTGGCAGGACAAACAAAGCCTTCATCACATTTTAGGATTCTGGCACAAGGCTCTCTCTACTCTTTATCCTCTTGGACCTGGGCTCAAACTCAGGACCATGAGCTTGCCAGGCAGGCACTTAAACCACTGAGCTATCTCCCTAGCCCAAAGTAAGGACTTTTTTTTTTTTTTTTTAATTAATTTATTTATTTATTTTGTGTGTGTGTGTGGTCAGCTCAGCCCACCAGGGGGCAGGGCTGGCTGGCATGTGGTGCTGGGGATTGAACCGCGGTCCCTGTGCTTTTGCTTAGCTTGTTCTAAGTAGGTGCTTTAGACCACTGAGCCATCTCACCAGCCCCAGTAAGGACTTTTTTTGTGTGTGTGGTACCAGAGATCAAACTCAAGACCTTGCACTTGCCAGGCAAGCACTTATTCCACTTGAGCTATTTTCCCGGCCCTACTCCTTATCAACAGAGACGAATTTCTTCTGTGAACAACATCATAAATTTAATATTACTACAAAATCACAACTTTTTGAGACAGTAAGATTGTATCATATGGAATAAATAAGAATCTTATTGAACCTAATGTTTGACCCTAACCATGAAATGTTAAAAGGTCTTAATAGAAATTTTGAAAAATGTGACTACTCTGGAGTAAGGAACCATGAGCATTACAAATATACAAAAAATAGTCGTTTATCTGGATGTGGCCCTGCCTGTGCTGGCAAGCTGAGGCAGGAGGGACATAAATTCAAGGCTAGCTTAACCGACTCAGTGAAACCCCAGCTCAAAATAAAATGTAATATTGGAAGACTTGTAAAAGAAAGAAAAAAAGAGAACAGAGAGAAGAAAGGCAAGAAAGTGAGGGAAGAAGGAAAGAAGGAATAAAGAAAAAAAAAAAGAGAAACAGAGAAAAAAAAAAGAGAGGAGAGGAAAGGAGAGGAGAGGAGAGAAGACAAAAGAAAAGAATCTCTTTTTCCAGTTTCCTAATCTACAAGATGACTACTGTGACATAACTGCCTGGCTGATATCTCAGCTCAGTTGATTCCAGGCCCCATAATTTTAGGGTATTTAGCCTCCCGAGGGACTTAGTTTTCATCTCAGGAGGTATGAGGTGTGATAAAAAAACCACAATAAATGTTAAAATTTTTAAAACTTACATCTTTATGAGATAGGCATGATTAAAAAAAAATAGGGTGGGGGCTGGGAAGATGGCTCAGTGGAATAACTGCTTCCCTGGCAAGCGCAAGAAGGGCCTGAGTTCAATCCCCGATTCCGCCATAAAAACAAAACAAAACACAAAAAATAGGATGGCCACCAAGGACCATCCTACAGAAGGAAGGCTCATAAAAATATTACAATGTGTCTTCATCTACTTATCTATTGGATCTGGTACCGCTGGGCTTCTATCTCATTTTTTACTGTAATACATTTAAATTTAAATATTCACGGTATTTTTATCACAACTAGTAGCTAGGAAATTAAATGCTTATTTGTTTGTAAAGTTGTTTGTTTTTTTGTTTTTTTTGTCTTTCTGAGACAGGGTCTCGCTATGTAGTTCATACTGGCCTTGAGCTCCCTTTGTAGCCCAGGCTGGTCTGAAATTTGCAATGATCCTCCTGCCTCAGCCTCCCAAGCGCTGGGGTTACAGGCATGTGCCACTACAGCTGACTGTAAAGCATTTTAAAACAATGCTTGCTGAGGATGTAGCTCATTGGTAGAGCATCTGCCTAGCACCCAAGACTTGTTTCTAGGTTCCCTCCCAGCACTGGGGGAGGAGAATGGCCTACACTTTTCCATCTCCTTCAGAAATGTGTGGTACTGGGCACTTCCATTTCACTACCATACTGAATTACACTTCAGGAGTGCGGCGGTGATCTCTTACCATTGGTGCTGACGCACACTGCCTGGTCCCGCTGCAGAGACTCGCACCCGCTCTGCCTCTCTGCACACACTCCTATGCTGTCTCTGCGGTCTGGCTGCCCCACAGTTTCAACCCTGTACACAAGGTTGAAAGGTCATTTCATATTTTTTCAACATAACATTATACCTCGCAGTTACAACTTAAAAGAAGAAATTTCATTACAATTGCTATTTTGTAAACAGTAATTTGGAACTTATATTCCAAATGCTATTACAGCTGCCCACAATATGCAGGCCAGACGAGAGGCTTGGAGCAACAGGCTCCCCTGTTGCCTTTTTGCAAGTGCATTCTATGATAGCTGTAACACCTCACTATCACCCAATGGCCCGGTTCCGAAAAAAAATAAAAAATAAAAAATAAAATAAAAAATAAAAAATAAAAAAAAATCACCTAGTGATGTTTCCGAGAACTTACTCCTGTCATTAAGCAATGCATCACTGCATCTACCTGTAAGTAATATCTACAAATTTTTGGTTCCAGGGGTTGAACTCAGGACCTTGTGCATGCCAGGCAGGCACTTGTGCTGCTGAGCTATCTCCCCGGTTAATATCTACAAATTTTTAAAACAATCTACAAAGCAAGTGCTATTATCATATCCACATCATAAGTGAGCACACTAAAGCACAAAGAAACAATAAAAGGGGGTGTGGACCAGAGTAGAGCACTTGAACAGCAGCACATGGTCCTGTGTTGGGCCCCCAGCACAATAACACAAAAATACCCTCAAAAAAATGGAGGAAGACACAAAGGAATGAAGGAAGGAGTGAAGGAAATCTGTCTTATCTGCCCCTTGTAATTAATGTGACTCTTGCTGCCAGTCACCCAAACCCAAACCTTCAATATAAGTCTACAATGATGTTTATAATATCTGAAAGTAAATATTAGTTTTTAAAAAGGGCATTGTAGGGCTGGTGAGATGGCTCAGTGGTCTAAAGCACCTACTTAGAACAAGCTTAGCAAAGCACAGGGACCACGGTTCAATCCCCCAGCCCCACATGGCAGCCAGCCCCGCCCCCTGGTGGGCTGAGCTGGCCACACACACACACACACACACACACACATAAATAAATAAATTTAAAAAAAAATTAAAAAAAACAAACAAACTGAAAGTAAACCTCTCCTACTACCAGTTAATTTCCTGTTTCTTAACCTATTTCTTCCTATTTTGGAAAATTTTCCCTTGTTATCTGAGCTGTGTG